CCCCAAAACCCCAAAACCCCAAAACCCCAATCTGAGTGGACTTTCTAGAAATTTAATAACTTTGCATATCATGGAGTTTAACAAAGATGGTGCATACCAAAATGTGTTTGGATACTATCAAAACATCGTTATTACCAACAACCCAGTTGGACCGAGCGGAACTATAGGATTTTTAGAAGCTCATGAATGGAAAGTTACCGTAGAAATTTCTGAAGAGTTCAAAGATGACTCTAAGCAAGTGAGGCTCTATGATGAAACCCCATACCTTAGTCATCCTTTTGAGCATTGAAAAGATGATTTTGGAATAAAATAAAGAGGAAGGATCACTAACAATCTCAGATGATGAATTCTTCCACAAAATTGAGTCTTTTGAGTTCCAGCCAAACAAAATCTTAGTCAATACCATTAACAATGTTGAAGAACTCGATCATGCTAAGGATACTCTAGATTTCATATTTCTGAAGCACAATAAGAGAAATCTCCATACCTCCAAATCTATTCAAGAGATCCAGGATCAAAAATGAGTAAACTTAAGAGGCTCTTAGGCATGCTTGTAGATGTGCATTTCAGGTAACTCTCCCGTCTAGCTAGTAGATACACTCCTTCCAAGGATATTTTAACTGGGATTTAAACATCTTTTCTCATATAGACGACTAAAGATATCTAAATAAAAACTATAACAGATTTCTTCACAGCCTCATTGAAGCGAAATCTCAAGGAAGATGGTCAAGGCTTAGGAAAAATCACAGAATGAGGGATAAGAGAAGACCCAATGAGCATTCCACACAGTACAGCACCAATATTGAACGTTCTCTGTCTAAACTAGGAACCTAGATTTATCTGGAGCAAGATCGCATCATTTTTAGCATAATTCCGCCTTTCTGTTTACCAAATTTTACTTTTGGTTTATCTCAGTAAGATTACCAAAAAGAGGTCCGAATCTTCTAATAATTGGGATAAATGCTCCTTGACAAAGAGTTGCCAGCACATTTAGCACCACTTGGGAGTTTTATGGTTAAGAAAGAATACCTGAGAGCAAAGAACTTCTAACTTAGGGCATGCTAATCCTAGTAGATTAATAGAATAACTGATTGTGGGAAAACACCTCGCAATAGCCACTACAGTCTGAATGTTGGATACCAAACATTGCATTTCTTCTTGTCTTTTCAGTTTTCTTGGTCAGAATTCTGTAAGCTAAGGATCTTTATACTGGAGAAAATATGTTAATAACTCCTAAAATTTCAAAATTCTTCAAAACATTTACCTCAGAAATTAATATTTTCCTCTCAATTTTGGTATAAAATTAGATGCTTTGAGAAGCCTGAAGCTCTAAATGGAATCCATAGAAAGCTCCATTACGAAAATTGAGGTTACAGGCACAAATAAGAGACTTGAAAATTTCAACTATAACAAGTTCAAAAGGGGTTTTGGGGTTTTGGGGTTTTGGGGTTTTGGGG